ACCAAATCCTCAACGGAGATGGAAAGAGAGGGATTCGAATCCTTCCGTGCAAAAATTCGTACAATAAATTAGCAATTTGACACTTTAATTTAGTCCACTCAACCATCTCTCCCCACTTAAAAAAGAATTATTCTTGGATGTCATTTTTAATTATATACTTTCAGGAGTACATATTTAAAAAATAGTTGCATAAATGAACAATATCCTTCCTCCAACATAATTCTTATGTTTCCCTTAATGAATCATGATAGTTTATTAACAGTGTATCTCTTGTAGTATAAGCGTGCGAAATGCCATTCCCTAGAGTTAAATCTCCATTCTTTAGACAATTATGGATGATCTTTTCGTAGGTAGCGGTTATGAGATAGACATATCTTCCAAGTGATATATGACTCAAGAGGAGAGAGAGATATGTGGACATTATAACTTATTTCAGAAACTAAAGTAAATATATATAGAGATCAAACATAACCCTAGGACTCATTGGACCCTTTTTATATACTAAAACCCAAAAAAAAAAAAAAAATTTAAATTAATAAGAGCATAACCCAACAAAATAAACATAAAATTTTTCCATGACTAATAAAATTTATATGTGAGATGATGCACTCCCTTATTTTTATCTCAATCAACAAGAGTATGATGCAACCATAGACATATACTTGTCACTTTGAGGGCGCTTATTATTCGTTCACGCAGTCTCTATTTAATTTGTCAGCATCATCACAAAATAGCTTTAGATATCGTAAAATGCTTGAGTAGTTGGGTGCAGGGGATGGCTTTGATTACAAGACATTTCCTTTTATCACTTTGAAAAATTTATCATTAACCTTTTTTTGTGGCCTCTAAAGTTCCCTGAACATTTGTCACTACTGTATCAATGCTGCCATGATGAAATGTTAGACCTCAATGCATCTCTCTCTCCACGTGTTTGTTCACCCATATTGTTAATTTTCATGCAGAAGCTTTGTTTACATTTATGCAATGGTTAGTAAGGTAGTAGAACAAGCAACCAATCTATAGTGATCAAGGCCTAAGAATCTATATTGGAAATATGCCCTTCCACGTAAGATGACCACGTGGCAGAAATTGGTTGGTGCCTTGTGGCACAATATTATATATTGAAACCCCATGACTGTAGTGTTAGGGAGAGATGCATGCATGAGAAGGATAATCATCAAATTTTGAATTGTTATATCATCATGGTATGGAGCACAATTGGTGGATGGATTAGATACATAACCACCTTAGAAACTTCAAGATAAGAAATTTCGTGTTGAACGGTAAAGTTTGATTTGATCTTAATTATTAGCGTAACGTATTCTTACTCTATGAATGTATGAATTCATAGTGGATACAGACATAATCATGTGCGTATATCAAACGATTGTACATGCATGAAATCATATAATCCAAAATTGGGTAAACAAACTTGAAGATAATTTGTAGGTGACATAACAAGTTGATCAGAAAGATGTTAAAAAGAAAGGCAAAGCTTATTATGAGAATTTGCATCTATTTAAAAATCGCAAATCGCACGCAATTTGTAAAAAAGAAGATTTGAAGGATGAACAATATATGTATAGATGTACTAAAAAACTCTATAATATTTAATAATTTATTAATAAAATGGGGCGTGAAGATTTTGATATCATGTAAAAAATTATTTAATTCAAAAACTTAAATTGTTATAAGAGTATTATTTTAATATTTTTATATTATATTTCTCTAATACAAATTTGTGACAGAATTTAAGATAGAAACATAGAAAGAGAGGTATCTTAGTAGAATTCATATTGATTTGTCAAGAAGTATAATTGCATGGATGAAAATGTGATTGGCATCTATAATTAAGTCCACATGTTTTACTAACTCTTTGGTTTGAACTCATCCATTGGATATACATATTGGCTATTGCACAACAAAGTTTTGTCATGTGTTTAGGTATAAACAAGCCAAAAGGGATAGAATACGGTGTATTGAAGCAACTTGAATAAACCAATAAATTTGTCAATCATGTTATGAATAAAGGGCACTGTACCTATAGCCATAAACACATGCACTTATCATAAGTGTCCCGCACATGTTTACCCGGGTAAAAAGGTCCGATTACTTCGTAAATAGGAGTTGACCTATCTATTTTCCTTTTTGCCCATAATAAATACATAATTTGGATTTAATTTTAGGAATTTTCTATTTTAAAGTTATGTGTAGTTAATTAGCCTTAAAACCTATTGTGACGCCGAACCAGGGCACCTTTCCCTTCAAGGTAAAAAAAAAAAAAAAATCAATAAATTGTACAATTCAGAAAGAGAAGTCAATGGCCAGAGAAGTTAGGGTACATATTACTGGTTTTTTCTTTTTTCTTTTTTAAAAGTATAACTGATAAAATGGACAACCAAAAAAAATGGACAATTAAAATTTCTTGGTAAACAAAAAAGAAGTGTTTAAAAAGAAATAAAAAAGGTCATTCTATACTTTATATTATGTGCTGTTTATATTTAAATCAGCAATATCAAAACTTGTATAAAAGTATAATTAGGAATGGCCTAACTAATCTTGTGGTTACAAGTTCATTAGAAAATTAGGTTGTCAAGTGGATAAGATTTCATAACTCCCTAATAGCTTTACATGTTCCCTTATCAATGTATTTATTGCTTTAGATATTCTAACGCATGATAAAATAGATTTGATCCTAACACATTTATTATAATTGACAAGTTGGATTATGTTCGGTAAATAAAGAACGTCTAGTTGATAAGCTAGTGATTATATATACGAGCAACACCTTTATCCAATAGTCCAACGAGCAAATATCAGGGTTGTGTATTTGTTCACCTGGAGATTGTGAAAGCTATAGGTTAGAATAAGCAATGCACTCTCTCTCTCTCTCTGCTGTTCTCTCTCTGCTGTTCTCTCTCTGCTGTATGTAGCAGGGTGAGTGTGAGGCAACAGATATATATTTAAATTTAAAAAGGATGAGTAAAGCAAAAACCATCTTTTCATTGTAGCAGGGTTTTTGTAAAACTTACAAAAAAATAAATAAAAATAAGCAATGCACTGAATGTGACCCACTTGGTCACTATTCTGGTATACATTAGGCCCAGAGCAGTGGAAAATGACCCAATTATCTCGTAGATGGTGAACGGAGGTGAGAGATATCAGTTGTAATTAGTTGGAGGTCGGGCACAAGAAGTTGATCCACAAGATTGAATATGTATTGTAAAAAAAATATTTTTACTATTTCCTAGTAAGAATGGCTTAACCCAACAAGAAGATTTGTTAGTAGATTAGGTGCGTGTTTAGTGTGATGTATAAGGCATGATAGTATAAACTTATACTATATGTTATGATATTTTCAGTTGTTTGGTGTGACCATCGTATAGTATAAGCTTATACAGCATAATCCCTTAATACATCAAAATGATGTATAACTTAATCCGGCCTAAAGGTGAGGGATAATGCCTGATAAGAGATTGATGTATTAACATCGTTAACCAATATAATTCTCAAAAATTAATATATTATTTTAATATTAATCTATTAAAATAAAAATTAATTTTTCAATATATTAATTTTAAAATATTGAATATTTTTATTTTCATAAAAATTAATTTATATTTTGAACACACTGATCAATAAATTTTTATAAAAATTAATATTATATGACATTTTTTGAAGAATTGTATAAATTCTTTATTAAAGGATATATTTATCATATATAGTATTATATATTACATTACCAAATACTAGATGACATTATCTTATACAATATATTATTTTATACAATACCGTGCCAAACGCTGGATAGTATTAAGTCTTATACAATCAGACTTTATACTATCAGATCTTATACTATCAGGCCTTATCTTATACTATGCACCAAACATGCCCCTAGACATCATTCATCCTCCTCTATGAGTGTCTCCATTCTCTTACTTCTCTCCAATTCTTATCAAGCTCCACTATATCCAGTATTACTGAACTTTCAAATACAATCTATTCTGATGTGCTAACAGTTTTCAATAGCATTAAACAAATAAAAAGAGCTTCAGGTCAACAAGAATTGATAAGCATGCTTGAATTTCCCATGCAAGACTCCAAATTTGCAGCACATGACAAAACATCTTATTTAGAGGAAGTAATAATTACATTGCAATATTAAACGTCTGCTTTGCCAGTTTGGACGTAAAAGTATACTAATTACCCTCCCTCAGCCATTAACTTATTTTATTAATTAATGCTTTAACTGTAATACAAACAGATCCAAACAATTGTATTTCATGTTTTCAATTTCTTCCGATCGATTGCAAGAAAAAATATGAATTCACTCAAAATTGGGAAAACATGTTAAGCTTTTAATCAAAAGAAACAAACACCTAGGCATATAATTTCATTGTTCTAATGATACTAGTAGATGTAAAATTAAAACAAAACCCCTCTCACTCACCCAACAATTCCCACAATGCTAAGAATTAACAACACAAAATTGGATCACTATTGGCCACTTGTACATTTCCTCATCAGTTACTGGGATGGAGAATGTTGTCAACCCAGTTTCTGAGTCATAGTTGAAGTCCGTTTCAGTGTCACCCACCACACACTTAAGTGGCCGCTGAGAGGAGTAAACCTCAAATCTGCCACTTCTCTCAAAGCAATAGTTGCTGTGTCATCAAATACTTGTTTTGTGTCACATGCTTTATAGATTTCAAACTGCTCCACAGATCCTCCAGTGTTAAACATATCCAATAGCCTTATTAATTGGTGCAAATGAAGTGCAATTTTCTGTCCATCACCATTAGTTGTGTAAATAGACCATAGACATAAAACCAAAAGCCAATGACATCTCTTCATATTCCTAAAGTTATGGAGTTATATGTGATCTATATTTAATCATGGCTTATGCATTAATAGAAAATAACAACAATAAGGTGAATATAACTATAAATGTGAAATCGATTGTTAATTTAGACATGAATTTTTTTTATAAGGTTGGTCTTAAAATGCAAAATGATTATAATAATATTTGAAAATATTTACAGTCACAATTTGAAGTCTTGTACAATCCTCCCATCCTCGCCTTTCTCCCATGACACCCTCAACAAACCAGAAGGACCAAAAGAAAAGAAGAAAATCACTCAGACATCACTGCTCAGGCCTATATCCAATTTCACCCCAAAAATGGGTGATTCTCGAAAGGATATAAGAAAAATTAAAATAAAAGAATTGCAATGAAAGAAAAAGCAAAAAGGATGACTTCTCCTTTATCATATTTGCCTTTCCACAAGTAAAATATGCCATTTCTAAAGTCATCTACTCTCATTGTTTGATTCCAACGACCCGTCCTTCATCAATTTCAGACTTAGACTAGTAAACCTCTCTCTCGAATACTGCCTTGATGCTTTTCTCCAATCTGTGCCAGCTTTCATCATTGCAGCAAATTCCTCATAACTTATTCTTCCATCCTGTAATTTCATGAAGAAAAGACATTAAAGGTTGGATCCGAATTTGACAAAAGATCTATCAGCAATTTTGTAAAATCAAAATCCAGACCAAGAACAATTTGTAGATCCATATAGACGAGTATTAGGAATTCAAGTGTGAGTGATGAAGTTTCATATTAGGTAGGAATGAACTAAATGAGGACCACATAAGTAAAAAGAGGAAATTGATCATCTCATGTTAAATATGAGACAATCTTAATCATTTATGATCAAATTAACGGTTGTTTTTTGTCATTTCCTATTCCGATATTTTTTCTCTCTCATCACTTTTGATTTGTCCATGAATGATTAAGATTGTCTTATATGACCTGGTCATGTTAAATAACATATAAGAGGATCCATTCGCGTGAAAAGAACCATAAACAAATAAACTCTTTTCCTTATGGTTTTAGATTGAGATATGATTCAAGTTCATTTTTTGGTGGTTTGGATATGCTACTTAGCCCATTGAAAGAAGTCTCCCCTAGATCACTTAACATGGAGTGAGGGAAGAAATGAGCGGAGGTTACTTCCCCTTGTTGGGATATACTTAAAGGATAGGAGGGAACTCTATTCCCCCATTTGGAAAGTTAAATTTAAACTAGAGGGAAGGGGTAAGTTGTAAAATTAATTTAAAAAATAATCCTTAAGTGGCAATCTTATGAGTATAATGCAGGTCTAAGGGATATCTAATTTAATAATTTTGTGCCCATCACAAGAAAGTTGTTTAAAATTGGATCTGAGAATATCGTCAAGCAAATACTCAACTGGGTATTAAAGCATAACTGAATAAAACAAGACTTTTAATTTAAATTCTTAACCCCAGAAAAAATAAAATTGATAAAAGAATGAAATTCTGACCTTATCTGTGTCCACATCATGCATGATTGCATTAATGACTTCTTCACTGTTCGTATCAACCTCATCACCCAAGGCATTACGTAACTCTTCAATTTCAATATACCCACTTTGGTTCTGATCAAAAAATTGGAAGGCTTTGTGAAGGTGTTCATCATTGCCCATCTTTCTCAGATGAATAGAAACGGCTAAAAACTCTCCATAATCTAGGTACCCATCTTTATCTAAATCACCCTGTAAAAGCAATCCCCGAAGATTAGAAGTAGAAGAGACAACTTTCCAAGGCCATATATGTAAAACAATAAATTAACACATAGTACAGTACATTCATGTAGAACTTTCTATTAAAGTAAAAGAGGAAACAGCACCAAGAGAATTAAGAATGTCTGCTTGTGACAATTTATTAGTTCAAACATTACTAATAAAACCTGTTTGTGTTAGCATATATGAACTAATACACTAATACACTAATACGAAGTAAAACAATCCAAGTTTGCAATTAGTTTGATATATTACAAAAACAACACTATGGAAAAACAATTATTTCTTTACATATCAATTGTGGAACAAACGAAGAAAGATTCAAGGTAAAGGGTAATTAATACTCACAGCTTCCATAATTATTTGGACATCTCCTTCAGGAACTTGGTGGCCTAGCTTATGCAATCCTTCTCGTAGCTCATCAATGTTAATCTTGCCTCTATTTCCTGTATCCATCAGCTGAAATCCCTCTTTAATTCCAGCAACTTCTTCTACTGACAAATGCTCTGCAATCACCTGCTCATAAGAAATTCCAACAGAACAAAATCAATAACTTCCAAATTAGGAGGGTCATATATGGATAAACATTTTGGGGACTATTCCACATGAGATATCCAAATATTGTTGAGAACATTACCCTCAAAGCTCTTTTCTTAAGCTTGTTCATTACAGAAAATTGCATGAGCCTTGCTCTAACAGTTTCTCCTAATGAAACATTAGGAGCTTTCTTTGCATTCTGTAACCACGGATGATCTGCATATAGTTAACAACCAACATTATCATCCTTACATTTCAAAGTTAAATTAAAAAAACATGAAAACTGTTCATCTGCTAAACAGACAATACTCCACACAATTCAACAGTTTATACTTCATCTCCCTAAGCATTCTAATATGAACATCATATTACCCAACACTTCCTGTGCAGTAAGCCGGCGCTTTGGGTCAGGATCAAGCATCTTCTTCACAAGGTCTTTTGCATTATTTGAAACCTTTGGCCATGGCTCCCTTTTAAAATCAACTACTGATCGTATAATTGCTTGGGCAACTCCCTGTTCAGTTTCTGCATTTTAAGAGAGAGAAGATTTAGAAAATCAAAAATATCACACAGAAGAAAGGAAGAAATAATGATGTAATAAAAATTGCACTGAAGCAAAGGAAAATAATTGAAAGATGACTTTTATCATCATCCTTTATCTCATCAAACATACAAATGCAAATAAATTATATGAAAAACATCACATCAGCACAAAAATAGCACTTCATCCGCATAATAAAGATCATGGTAAATGATTGCATGAGAATAAGATCCATTCCAAACAGGACATAATAACTAGAGTATATTCTATCCATAAAGAAATGGAAACAAAAAATTGTTGAATTCTTCAAGGATTTGTCAATTCATTGGACAAAGATGTTGATTAGCCAAATATCCCCAGTAATGCAATTAATCATCTCATCATCTCATTTTCAGACAACAGATCATGCTGGTTAGTTCAAGATCATTAGTGAATAAGGAAGGGTAACAAAGACATTGTCTTTATTGTCACAGTCCAGAAAGGTGACGAACTAGAAGATAAGATTTGTTTAGTAACAAACAAACCACTCATTTTTTTACCGAACTAAAATTCAAAAACATGCATTTATTTTACTTCCAACAGTTTCTATTACAATTATAAATATAAATATAAATATATTTATGTTAGTAGCTAGAACTCCATAGAGCCCTAAAAGTGGATCCTTAGATATGTAAGATCTCAGACTCACAAAAGCCTAAAACATCATTCACAAGACAAAAACCAACCTGCCCAAAATGGCGGGACACCACAAAGTAAGATGTAAAGAATTACTCCAGCACTCCAGATATCTACTTCAGGGCCATAATTCCGCCTTAATACCTCAGGAGCCATGTAATATGGACTTCCAACTATCTCATTAAATCTTTCACCTGTAGAAAATGGCAAACTTCAGTTAATTGTAAATGTATACAGAAGCAACAAAATGATGAAGATCAAGCGACAACATCAAGATATTCAATTACTATCCAAAAGTATTACCTGGTTTAAAGAAAACTGACAATCCAAAGTCAATAGCCTTCAGAGGTGCTGTTTCCTTCTTGCTTCCAAACAAAAAGTTCTCAGGTTTAAGATCCCGATGCATCACACCATGCTTGTGGCACATCTAAAAACCAACAAAAATTCAAAACAATCATGACTAAATCCCAAATTTTTAATAGCAATATATATATATATGGAAGCTGTTCTAACAAAACAAATAGAGTTGACAACATTTCCTTTTGTACTAAGAATTCCTACTAGGAAAGAGGAATCCTTCCATCAAAATTTCAGAAAGAATCAAGGAAAAACATAGATATATATATATATATATCTATACATATGTCTAGTACATATGTACTAAAATACTATTTTATTTGTGAATATCTCTATCACAAACGAAAGTTGTGAATCAATTCAAGATTGAAGAAAAATAGAATATTCATTCATTAAATAATTCACTCCATCCATATATATATATATATATATATATATATATATATAGGGCGAGATTCTTTGACACCAAATTCTAACCGTTGATTTCTGTCGATTAACGATTATCATTTATTGAAAATTAATGATTAAGAGAAAAAATAGAAATCCTCATCCAAACCGAGAAACAAATTATACCTGGCCCCAACATTTCAACTCTAAAAGTTCAAAACCCCATTTATAAATAATATACAATTTTTTTGACTAAAGTGTGATCGACAATTAGCTCTTTCACCAACAGATAACACAGTAAACGCCATTTATAACATATACCCCGTATTCATCATGTCAAATCACCAAGACAAATCATAACACAAGAAAACATAGTTTTCAAAATTTTACATTCACTATTTTCTACTACTAACTCATTTTTTATTTTTTTTGGTAGATACTACTAACTCATTAGATATACTTATCCAGGCACTAAAGATGCTCCAATTTCATTAAACACTAAATCTTATAAACTAATTATGCAATAAAAAACCAATAACCCTTAAATAAATCAATACACAAAAATAGATATTAAATAGCTACACCTTATTAAAATTTATCGACTTCTAAAAATAAATAAATACAAAAAAATCACATGTTCGAGTTCCGAATCTTGTATGTGCTTCTGCCCCGCTTAAATCGAATTAATCAAATAATTAACCAACCGACGGAAAAATTAAAAAAAAAAAAAAAAAAAAAAAAAAAAAAAACTCAACTTAAACCGAATTAGTCACATAACCAATAAACCAACTAAGAAATTAAAAAAAAAATACTAACTTGAACCGAATTAATCAAATAATCAACGATTTTTTTAAAAAATATATATATAACCGAATCAGTGATATAATGAATAAACAAATGGAGAAATTAAAAAAATGAAAATTTACATGAAAGAATCTAAGGATGTATATATACGCCTTTAACGTTTCTTTTCTAAAATAAATATAGATAAATTATTTATATTTGCTTCCAATACGAGATTATTTTGGATTAAAAAATTAAAAAATTATAACAAAAAAATTATTATAATCCTGAATTAAAGTACAATTATAAAAATAGCTTGATTTCATACTAAAAACGAATTCATTTTGGGTTTAATGTAGATAAACTATTTACATTTGAGACATTGACAGTAAATAAAACGAATATATATATATAAAGAGGTAGGATCCTTTGACGCCAGTGTCAAAATTCAAATTTGACATCTCATCTAAGAGAGCCGTTAGATCAAAAAATATCTATGGTGTCACATGCTTGCCAATGTCGTTGATCTTTTTTTATCTAACGGCTCTCAGATGGGTGTCAAATTTGAATTTTGACACTGGTGTTACAGGATCCTATCTCCGTATATAAATAAAATTAAAAATAAAAACTTACTTGCACAACTTCAACGATGGTCTTGGTGACGAAGGCGGCGGCGCGCTCGGTGTAATGGCCGCGGGCGACAATCCGGTCGAAAAGCTCCCCACCTTCACACAATTCCATAACAAGATGGACATCATTGTCATCCTCATAGGTATCCTTCAAGGTCACGATGTTTGGGTGTTTAGGTATGTGTCTCATGATCTCAACCTCCCTCCTCACATCATCAATATCCACAGCGGATCTTAACTTCTTCTTCGATATCGATTTGCACGCCAACTGCTCCTTCGTTTCCCTATCCATGCAAAGGTACGTTATCCCGAATTCCCCTCTCCCAAGCTCCCGGCCCAGCTCGTACCTAAGCCCGATCTCTCGGCCCGTGGGCTTCTTCAGCACCACCAGCTTGTTCCCCGGCCCATCCTCGAACTGGTTTTCCCTCTGCTTCTGCTTCTTCCTTCCCTTCTTGTTGTTTCCACCAGACGATGGCGTTACGCAACAATTACCCATTGACGTGGAATAATTGAATAACGATTACGTTAAATTGGGTATTCGAAATTCAAGATCTTTGCGTCAAATTTTTGAATTAGAAAATGAAGGTAATGAAGAAAAGGAAAGAAAAATTGGAATGTGAATTGGTTAAGAGGGTTGTGAGAAATGATGATTTAAGGGAGGGTTTTTGAGAAGGGAGAGAAAGAGGAATTGAGAAAAGGAAGAGGGAAGAAGGAGAGGGTCAAACTTGATCCGCAGACACTTGGTCCATCGTCTCCTTCTTCTTCTTCTTTAATCTTCTTTCTCTTTCTGTTTCTCTTTATTTTTCTTTCATGAGATTTTTTCTCTTTCTAGAAAAAGGTAAAATCAATGAGCTGTTGTTTTTCCCAATTTTGTCCTATTCACACCAATTACACTACGAAAATCCAGTTTTTACATATGTAATTATCTTCTCTTCTTTCGTTCTTTTGTTATTTTTGGCAAAGGTGAATTGTGATATCCTTTTCTGTTGAAATATTTTGTATTTGTAGGTACAAAAGGAAACTTCCTTTGACTGTCCTCCTCTCTAATGTGTAATTCCGTTAATGCCATTTTACAGGAAACTTAGCAAGGTAAACAAACACGGCATTGCAATTCAAACATCTGGTGATCTATTGGTCACAACTCACAACTGGGAATTTGTTTTTGTCATGTGAAAAATAATAAAAAAATCCTTTATTGTTATAAATAAAATGATCCTTGGATGTCCATAACTCAAAAATAATATGACTCTGGATATGATAGTTGGATATTTAATCCCAAATTATAACCATTGAAGAAGTGTAATTGTCGTCATTTATCCTATTGTAACATACCTTGTTTTGAGAGCCTATAATAGATACACGTACAAAGCTTCAAGACACACCACGTACAAAAAGAATATATTCTCTTATTTCTCTCTTATTTTTATATTTTCTTCTAATTATATTTTATTTCACAAAACGTTATCAACACGATAGTCTCTACTCTCTACCATTTAAGAGCCCTCTGCACCGCACTATATATTGACTACCATAAAATCCCCTTTTTTGGTATTCTTTTTCTCTCTCTTCAATGGCAGAAATTCGCTTGCAACAGGAGGACTTCGACGTCTCACAATAACCACAAGCAATTGCTTTCTGCGCCACCAATCTGATCTCTGACGACAATTGTTCCGACATTACTGAAGCTCTCTCCTATGCCCACTCTGAGCGTCCTCTAACTATAAGTTTCATTCCATTTTTTTTTCTCTTTTTGTAACACCTCGTTCATGACCGATTTCTATCATTATCTATGGCATTAAGTACAGTTATAAACATAGCAGTTGAATTAAAATACGGCTAACTTTTTCTTTACTGTTAACAATTGTTATTTTTTATTTTAAACTTTTTTCATATTTAAAACAATCTAAAACTGTAACTTCAACCTTATGCAGAAGACTTAAATCTTGCTTAAATGTATCGTACATTCATTTGATTACATATCCACATTGTTCCCATGAACATGCATGGTCCTAATATAACTATTCTTTATTTTCCTTTGCTCACTAAGCCCCTCACTTGTGCGGGCATCATCAGCGAGCAATTAAAATACAAGACAGTGGCAAAGGTTGTCTCGCATCTCCTCGCTTCAGCAAGTAGATCATATTTCCTCGCTCCATTGTTCGCTGAAGTGAGCATGTGAGTGAGCAAATTCAAAATCAAGGCAGTAGCTACTGCCATCTCCAAATTTAGCTCGTTAGGCTGCTCGCTTCAGCTATCAAGCCAATGAAAAACCTCTTAATTTAGAGAGTGGAGTAACAGGGATTTCTTGTATCCCAAGCAACTTGTATCCCAAGCAACTGCTCGCTTAAGAAAGTATGACATCGAGCAGAGCCCTGTCCAGACAGTGGCTACTGTCTCCATTTATATTTGCTCGCTGGACTGCTCACTTAAGTGAGCAAATCAGCGAGCAACTCTGCACTTTGAACGGTTCCCTTGGTTCTATGAACCAATCCTTAAGAACACTTGCCTCATTTTTGTACTTCATTAACTTGGAATGGCAACCATATGCCTAAGATGCACTTACATCCTTAAATATATCCCTTTCTTGGGTTGCAATCAATTGCTCTTTCTTTACTTGAATAACAATGTATCTTCTATCTTATTATCATGCATCTTTCTAACTCTTTCTCATGCAAAATAGACACTTATCTTTCTTCTCATTTCTTGCATATATCATTTCATACATGCATCAACATTATAAATCATTCTATTTGCATATCAACATACACATTCTCTTCTAATGGAAACATACCAATGAATATCATCATAGGGTATATCATTATGTCTCATATCTATTATAACTTTGGGAACTTAATTACATAACATGATCAAAGTTCCTTACAGAAGTATTCATCAAGGGTAATACAAAATAACAATGATCATCTTTTTAAGTTCCTACATAAAGAAAATTCTTCTTAAAATGGGATTACAATTATATTTACAACAAAAGTAATACTAATGTGTCAACATGGCATGAAATCAACTCTAAGATGGCCCCTTGCCAAGAGATGTTCCCTCACCATCAGTGGAGGTACCTAAAATGATATCCCTAAACGTGGGGTGACATAAAATTCTCAGTAAACTAAGGGTCCTTGGAGAATCACTCCACCCTATAGTTCATTTTCAGTGTATCAACAATATTAAAATAAGCATGTATACATAAAAATATTATGTGACGGAACTTCTAAGCATATCCACTCTGCTTGTGGCTCTTAAGTGTCTTTACTCCAAGGAGTCCCGAAGGCTTTCCAAGGGAAGTTCCTTCTATTTTGACTATTCATTCTATTTTTTCTTTGGTATGGCCAACCATTGCATTTTCGAAGAAGATGTATAATACCTTATCAAGGATTGTCCCACAGGATAAATACCCAAGGATGGTATACTTCTATGGGTTGTTCCAAAGGATAAATACCCAAGGAAGTGCTCTGTCTACTTCCTATTATGTTTTGTCTACTTTCTATTCTTTCTCATTATACATAATACAAGTTTAACACTCAATGCACAATATAAAACCATTCCTCCCTAAGGAAGCATGGTGGAACACACAAAGGACTGATGCCCAAGGTTTGGAAATTTACCTATTGTAAAACTTCTGTTTTCTGCTCTTTATATCTTCTTTTCTATCTCTTTACGCCAAAAACCAACACTTCAAAACAATAACAACCTAGTGCAAATGTGTAAATGTGATCATTAACACATACATCACATAAATTACTCAGTCTGTGGCTAAAGAATCAATATTTATACTTAGACATTGCCTTACCTCTTTGTTCTTGACTCCAAGGTTAGATTTTTCAACCTAATGTTGAATCCAATGAACCTTCTACCACCAAACCATCATTTGGCTCATATCTATAATATTAAAACATCAAATAACTCATCAAAATCCATTAAACTCTTTCCACAAATCTGATTTTCATAGGTTACTATTCACCAAAAATCAACATTCATGATTCTTGATAAAGACATGAAGCAAGTTGAGATTACTCACCATAGATCAACCTAGGATGAAGTGGTGATGATTTTCCAAGCTCAAAGCAATCAAACAACACTCAAAACTCCAAAAGCTTGAAATAACTAATTTCTTTGGATGATGATCTCTCTTCACACAAGGCCTCTCAAGTGAAATGGTTTGTAGAGTTTTACTCACAAGAGAATTCTAAGCAATTAACCTTCCAACACAAAAGTGTTTCAGCCCCTAAATCAAAAGCTAGGTTTTGAAGTGGGTTAACAATGGGGTATCCATTTTTAAAGATGAAGAACCGAGAAAGATGAAGTCTTATAACACTAATGACTTTGCTAAATTTTCATTTAATCAATTTATGCTTTATGCTTTATTGACCATATTCAACTTTCTTCTTAGAAATTCCTTCTATCACTACCAGAAAATCAAGTTCCAAAGGTTTACCTCAACTCCGAAGCCAATGGTCCCCAACGTAAGCTCCAAGCTTAATCCGCTTCCATAGCGTCCGTGAGAGGCAACCTATATTGATCAACATAATGACCACCAAACCATTTGCAAACAACACATCAATTTCATAATAATTATGATCAACAATTATCCCTTAGGTTCAAAGACCATCATACAGCTTATTCAATCATCCCAACCACTAGAATCATCAATCTAGCTCACTAATCTACCAATGTATCAACCATTGATTAAAACCACATTTTCTCATCATTTTTTCCTCGCACACTACATGGTTCGAAATTTACAAGGAACCATCCATCAAGGTTCTCAATCCAATCCACACTTATACTCATCATATAATCCTATTATTTACATATTCCAACACACAATCAATCACTCTTAACCATTACAATCCATGTTCACATCCCAAATTTTCATCTATTTCCACCAATTTCACTAAGTTACAACTTTCTATATCACCATAAATTTTATTGCACCAATCCTCATTATACATCATTACAAGCAATAAATTACAAAGGGGCAACACCATTAAAGGTTCCTAATTACCCCCATTCATCACACATCATCAAACCCACACTCATATTTATGATCTTCACAAAATTCAAAGGAAAACAATGATTCTTACCACCAATAGCTTGCAAATGTTCCTAGGAGTGATAATCAAGTCTCCACACAAGCCAAAGCACCACCCAATCTCCCCAATCACCTCAAATTCGCCCAAGGGAGGTGGAGGAGGATCTCTTCACACACTCACTTTCAAGCCACTCTCAAGAAGGGAAATGTACTCACAATCTCACTACAAACAACTTTGATGTTGGGACCTAAGTGATTTGGTGGCTAGATTTCAAGTTTGAAAAAAATCAAAACCTCCAACCTTCACCCATGGAGCGCGCACGGGAAGGAGAAGAAGAAGGGAGGGAGAGAGAGAAAAAGTGAGGGGAATTTGGTGACACATGCCCCACTTAAGTGACTTTGTTCCTTAGGTGGGTCCCACACTCGATTTAACTTCCATCAATCACTAATTTCAACCACAAATTCATAACCATATAAGGCCTTTTTAAGTTTAAAGACATGGTTAGGTAAATCATTATCTTCAAAACCGGGAAGTTGATCAACATATACTTCTTCTTGAATATAACCATTTTAAAAGGCACTTTTAACATCCATTTGAAAGAGTTTAAAATCCATTATACATGCAAACGCAAGTAGCAATCTAATAGCTTCTAATCTAGCAACGGGAGCATAAGTTTCATCATAATCAATTCCTTCCTCTTGATTATATCCTTTAGCAACAAGTCTAGCTTTGTTTCTAGTTATTATGCCATTT